GGCTCTAACTCCACCGCCATCAATCGAAAGAACCCTAGTCGTTGGTTCCTCCTTTACAGAACTGCTGGTACTTGCACCCATTATTACTGTAGATCGAATTATATTTCTTTTGAACGAATCGAGAAAGTTCGATTTTAGGTGTGTGGATGCATGTGTTCTAGTTAGGCCTATTTATAGAGTCAGGTTTTGATGTAAAAAAGGATGCTAAGCAAAATATGGGATAAGTTTCCTTAATTGCACGGTTTATATTAATTAATTAACTTATTTTTTTGATCCAGAATTTTGTTTCCTTGTGTGGTGGAATTAAATGCATATAAGGAAGGTTTATCTCTTAATTTGTTTAATCTCCATAATTAGGAAATATTTACCTATTGTTTCCTTTTTGTTTAATGAAAGGAAACAAAAAGATGGAAAATAATTATTATCTAACCGAGAAAGCAAAAAAAAAAAGGGGCTCTTTGACATAACCCCCTCATTACTTTTTTTAATGGAGATAGGCCCAAAATATTTTAGACCATTTGAGAAAAGCCCAATTTCAATTTCAGCTATTATGCTTAAATATGTTACATACACTTTATATATGAATACTTATTTTTTAAAATTTATTATATATAATATTTTGGAACATCAATTCTAAAATAAATTTAATATAAATGATCAATAAATATTTTTTTCAATTTTCTTAACCTTGGGGCCCCTAAATATTAAATCTTTAATGTCTTAATTATTTATTATTATACCTAAAATAAGAATCATTATTCATTAATTTATTTAAGTTTTATAAATATTTATGAAGTTTATTTTCTATAAAGATTATACGTCACGGGAGGAAGTGAACCAGCAAATCATCCTGTTAATTTTGATTTTTTTTTCCATATTTGAAGTTATTTTATGTTCATACATTTCAAAAAATGTTTCGGGGGCACTACCCTTGAACCCCCGTAATCTTTATTTCATCATTTTTAGAAAATATTATTTATATGTTTTTATTATATTTAATTTTGAACACACTTTAATAAAATTGATTTGTCAGATAGGGACCCCGGTTTTAAGTTGTTTTTTAAATCTCGTAGGGCCCCTGAATTCTCAGGAACGGCCATGAGTAATAACATTAGTATATTAGTATTTGTATTAGTAAGTATTAACATTAGTATTAGTATTTGTATTAGTATATGATTATTTCTACTAGGATTTGGATTGGATTACGATTATGATTATTATTATGATTATGATTAGGATTAAGATTATTATTATTAGAATTAACACTGACATTAGAATTATAATTAGAATTAACATTAGCATTAGCATTTGAATTAACATTATGATTATACGTAAGATTAGGATTACGATTAATATTAGCACACTAGCATTAGAACTAGGATTAGTAGCATTAGTTTAGGACTAACATTAGTACTAGCAATAGGCAGTAGAACTAGAATTACGATTATCATTAGCATTAGTATATTATGATTAGCATTAGCATTAGCATATAAATATTAGCATTATTATTAGCATATTAGTATGAATATTAGTATTGCGATATATTAGCATTTTGATTATTAATATTACTAGCATTATAACTAGAATTATGATTAGAATTAGGATTAACATTACCATTAGCATTAGTATATTAAGAATAATATTAAAATTAGTACTGTTAGCAATAGCATATTTGCATTTCTATAAGAATTAAAACTATGCTTCGTATTATTATTAGGATTAAGATTATAATTAGAATTAGAATAAGTATTAGAATTAAGATTAACATTAATATTAGTATTAGGATTATGATTGTAATTTTGATTAGAATAATGATTGGGTGTAGTACGTACTAGGATTAGGATTATGATTAGGATTAGCGTTAACGTTATGATTAAGATTAGCATTAGGATTAGTAATAGTAATAGTATTATTATCAGATTAGTATTAGTATTAGTATTAGCAATGGTAGGTAATGATAATGATAATGGTGACGGTAGTTGTAATGGTAATGATTGGTATTGGTATGAGTATCAGTATTTGTATCGGTATCTATATCAATATTGGTATCGTAATGATAATAGCAATGATAATGGGAATGGTAATGGTAACGGTGTTGGTATTAGTATTGATATTGGTAATGGTAATAGTAATGGTAACGGTAATGATGTACTCGCCATTTGTATACGGAAATTAAACCTTCGACATTTAGTTTTTTTCACTTATTTTGGCTGAATTTGTTATTTACATGAAATAAATTTTTTTAAACTTTGTATTGCACATTGATCTTACTATTCCGAGAACTTTTTAAAATTAAATATTTATTTTTATAATGAATTTCCCGTGCAACGCACGGGTGAAGTACTAGTTAATCATTAAATAGTGTAAATAGTTAGAGAAGCGATAAAAATATTTGAAAATGCGCTATTCAAACATATATCTAAATTTTTAGAAATTGTAAAATGACCGATAATGTGTTCGACATGTACCTTAAGTGTCGGACACGAAACATAATCGAAACGCGAAAACGTTAAGAAGTTGAAATTTCTGTGATACATAGTCCAATACTCGTGCGGCTTATTTTTGTAAAGGTAGCTACTAAAACGAAAGGAGATAATTCATCTCTAAAGTACAAAAAAATTGAATTCAATTATGGATGTTACTTGTTATTAAATTAAAAATCACATTTTATATCAGATTTTGAACAATTTTACACAATAAGCTGATTTTTTTTTTATTAATTGATTAGCAAGAAGAGAATTAATTCAATTTAATATGACATATATAATCGGACGAGGAGCAGTAAAGAAACTGTTTTTTTTTTGGGATAATTAGCAAGACCCCCCTCATCTAGGTAAATGAGTTAAGAAAAACCCTCCTCCTAAAAATAATTAGAGAAAACCCCCTTACCTAGTATTCTATTTTGATAATTCCCAAATCACCCTTAATGATTTTTCACGTATGAACCCAAGTCCCTAACCCATTTCATTTTTTTTTTCTCTCTTCTCATTTTCTCCTCTTTCTCTTCTCCACAGAAATTCAGAAGAGAAACAAGACGTCGCCGGAGAAGGACATCAGACGGCGACTCTGAAAGAACGTTGACGACGATCGACGGCGGTGGTGGTGGAGGAACGTTTGTCACCGCCTCCCGCCGCCGCGTGAAGGGTGGTGACGGCGGATCTGTAGAGTGCGAGGGAGACGGCTTTTCGTCAATTATTGTCAGAATCGAGTTAGATTGGTTTCAATTTCTCTCTTCCACCACATTTTTTCTGTCAATTTTTTTATATAATCTGTCAGTTGTGTGTGTGTGTGTGTAGATACTTCGATTTCAACTTGAAACATTTTATACTGTATGTATATAATTTCATATGTTATTTAATCCACTAATTAACATTTGATTATGATAATTGGAAGTGGTTCTGGTTCTTTAATGTATGTGATTTTGCTTAGTTTGTGCCTTCTACTGTTATTATTCGATCATAGTATTTGTGTTTGCAGTTGGTGCTTAATATGTATATTTGTTTCATGTTTAAGGAATAAAAGCAAAGAGAAGTGTGTATGTAAGTATGTTGTGTAATAATAGTGTGGACTCTGTTTCTGGTATTTCAGTATCATGTATTTGCATATGTGCTTCTTTTGTAAGTAGTTGTATACAAGATTTGGTACTTGGTTTGATTAGTTTAGAATTAGTTTTCTGGCACATAATTCTTTTGTTAACATATTTTAATCCACAAATGAACACTCATTTATGATACTTGGAAGTGGTTCAGAACTTTAAAGATCCACAGTATGTTGACTAAGAGTATGAGCATTTTATTGATAAATATGAGGCTCTACATAAGTATTTCAATTAATTTATTTATTTTCTTGGATGGTTGTATGAGGCACAAACTGGAGCCTTAATCGATTACGTACGTATTCAATAGTCGCTTAAGTTAATCGATTATGCTTTGGTAAACCTTACATGTTCATAGTCGATTAAGCTAATCGACTATGTTCTGGTAGTCGATTAAGGTTGATCAACTCCTTTTTGGATTTTTTGTTTATTGATTTCAATTGAATAAATCATTTATAATGTTTGTATATTTTATGTTTTTCGTAAAATATAGTTGATTTTGCATTTTTTCGCAGTTGTAATTTGTTATGTTTAGTAGCAAATTCTTAATCGACTATGCTTCATCATAGTCGATTAATATACCTGATATAGAAAAAAAAAATTAAAAAAACAAAAAAAATTAAAAAATTTCCTTAATCGACTATGAAGCATAGTCGATTTAAGACTAATCGACTATGCTTCATAGTCGATTAAAAAAACGGAAAAAAAAAATAAAAAAATTGCGGAGCGCGTGACCTAGTGATGAGGTGGCGGGCGGGGGTAAAGCTGGAAAGCATAATAGCTGAAATTGAAATTGGGCTTTTCTCAAATGGTCTAAAATATTTTGGGCCTATCTCCATTAAAAAAAGTAATGAGGGGGTTATGTCAAAGAGCCCCTTTTTTTTTTTGCTTTCTCGGTTAGATAATAATTATTTTCCATCTTTTTGTTTCCTTTCATTAAACAAAAAGGAAACAATAGGTAAATATTTCCTAATTATGGAGATTAAACAAATTAAGAGATAAACCTTCCTTATATGCATTTAATTCCACCACACAAGGAAACAAAATTCTGGATCAAAAAAATAAGTTAATTAATTAATATAAACCGTGCAATTAAGGAAACTTATCCCATATTTTGCTTAGCATCCTTTTTTACATCAAAACCTGACTCTATAAATAGGCCTAACTAGAACACATGCATCCACACACCTAAAATCGAACTTTCTCGATTCGTTCAAAAGAAATATAATTCGATCTACAGTAATAATGGGTGCAAGTACCAGCAGTTCTGTAAAGGAGGAACCAACGACTAGGGTTCTTTCGATTGATGGCGGTGGAGTTAGAGCCTTAATCCCACTCGTTATTCTTGCCAAACTCGAATCTCAGCTTCAGGTACGTACACACACACATACATACAGTAGAATCTCGATAAAGGTTTAACTGTATTAATACACACACGTATTATTTTCATGATTCGTATAAAAAATTATAGAGGTTTTGACACTGAATAATTATATATATTCTTCAGAAAATAGACGGTAAAGATGCGAGGATTGCAGATTATTTCGACGTAATTGCGGGTACAAACACAGGAGCACTAACTGCTGCAATGCTTACTACACCCAACGAAAATAATCGTCCGATGTTTACTGTGCAAGAAATCCAAGAATTCTACCTTGACAACTTCCCTAAAATATTCCCACAGGGGTAAGTAATTCTTTTTATTATTATTTTAATTTATTAATATTTTTTCTTTTAAATAGTTGTAATTTTAATTAATACTTTGTTGTTTGGTTCAGAAATAATATATTCAGCCGTGCTACAAAGAAATTTAAATGGTGGTTCGGCCGGGAAATAAAATATAATGGCAAATATGTAAATTCAGTAATAAAAGAGAAACTTGGTGATACAAAACTGAATCAAACTCTCACAGATATTGTCATCACCACAGACCCCATCACATTCTCAACCAATCAGGTTTGTTTTAATTTCTCTTCTTTTTTTTCCTATTTATTTGTATTTATATTTAAGATATAAATTAATATTTATAATTTGTGATTTAGGTGGAAAATAAGAATGTTTCACTCTCAGACATCTGCATAGGAAGCTTAGCTTTTCCGACTTATTTGCCTCCGCATTCCTTCGTAACTAAAGATTCCGACGGTAATTCCAAACAATTCGATCTCATTGGCAGTGCAGTCGACAATCCGGTAAATATATATCTCTATCTTACACTTTTTGGTCAAAAATAAAAACAAAATTCAATAACAAATACCAATTATTTTTCCGGGATTTTTTTTTGCAGATATTAGCAGCAATGATGCAAATACGAAAGGAGAAGCGTAATTTTTCCCCGTTCTTTTTGTCGGTGGGAAGTTGTTTACCTAAATACGACATCAAGAAAGCAAGAAAGTGGTTTCTTTACAATTACACAGTAATGAATGGTTCATCGACCGTTTGGAGTACAATCGGTCGACTTGCGTCATTTCTCACTGATTACGACAGTCTCTTTTATTTCCAAGACTCTCACGGTGGAGAAGAATCTCTTCAACGCTTTTTCTCTCAAGATAATTATCTTCGAATTCAGGTATTTTTTTTCTTTGCTTTTTTCATTAAATATTCATTTACAAAAATATCAAATTTTCGATACATGTAATAAAAAAATAAAAAAAAATGTATTTATTTTTCAGGACGATTCTTTAACCGGGGCAATGCGTTCAATGGACGTTGCGACGAAGACGAATTTGAAGAATTTAGTGAAAGTCGGAGAAAATTTGTTGAAGAAACGAGTTTCGAGGCTAGATTCAAAAAGTAGAAATTTTGTGCCGATTAGCGAGGAAACGAACGAGGAAGCACTGTTTAAACTAGCAGCAGAGCTTTCGTGGGAGAAGCGAATTCGAGATCCGGATTTTCTTGCGATAGCAACAATATAATAAATACATAGGCATCGATACAAATTTATTGTGGGGAAATATTATTTTTATTATTTAAGTACATAATTGTTATAGGAAATTCTTGATCTCATTTATATATTGTTTTTTCTCTTGCTACAATAATATTGTCAGTTGTCACAATTCAAACATAATATATTATTTCTAAGTAATATATCAATGATTCTATTTGAAGCATATTTACAGATAAAATTATAGTAGAATCTCGATAAATTAATAACCTCATTAAAATTATACATTTTCGGGGTCCCGAGTTCAAAAATATTTCAATAGATTAATATTTCGCTACTGACCTCTGCATTCTGCTCCAATCCATCCCGGAATTTTCTTGCATATTTCAATAGATTAAAAACATGATATATGTAACTTTTATTTGCATATTTTTTTCATGTACCTGCAACGAATTAAGGCGAAATTATCAATGAAAATTGCATTGATATAAAAAAAATAATCAAAAGA